AACTAACAAATAAAGAAAGCAGTAAAATTATCAACTAAGGAGACTTAGAGTTGGAGACAAGATTAAGGAGGTCTAGAGTTAGTATTTTCCCAATTATCGGAATCCTTCTCGCTACGTCTTTTATAATTTTGCCAAAGTATTCTCTCCCACTCGTGAGTACTTTGGGTGTCGTAGATCTCTCTCGAGTAACTACCATAATTTACTAGACGTATTTTCTCGAACTACGCTAGCTTGCGCTAATTCAACGCTCACTACAATCGCACCAAGATTTCGTTATCTCTAATCCTGCATTTAAACCCTACGTATTGATTTCTCAAATATGTTAGGAGTGGTGTTGTTCAACAACTACCTAAATGTATACTCTCTCTCGAGCAATATACACTAAATAGGCACAATCAATTGATGGGCATTCAATCAACAACAACAAATACATAGTTGAACAAGTAGAGAAATTCAATGGCTCAATTATATGAAAACATAACAGAATTTATCCTACAACAGGTTCCATCAAAACCTAGATAACAAATTAGCTATTCATAATAGTATGCATAACTACAATACTAGAATTCATAACCAATAATGGAAATAGAAGAAGAAAGAGGGGAAAACTTGAAGTTGAATCATTTTCCTTGCTTCTATGGTGTTTTTGCCTCCCCAAAGTGTTCTCTTCCTCAAGAGTGGCGGCTCCCTTTGCCTCTCTAATAGTCTCCCTCCTAAAAAATAGGTTTAGAACCCCTTTTATACATGTTGGGGGCGTGTAGGGTGAGACCCATCCTTAGCCATTTCGCTTGGCGCCTGGCGCCAACCTGGACACCAAAATTTTACACTTCTGTGCTCTTCTGCCATTGGCGTTTTGGTTGGTGCGTGGCGCCAACCTGGACACCAAACTCATACTCCCTCCAAATTCTTTTGTTTTTACTTCACTTTGCATGAAAGCTTGCCAAATCACTTCAAATTACCTCCTACACATATAAACACCATTATTAAGCTCGAATCACAAATATTTACACCAAAGTTAACAAGATTGAGGTATAATGCAAGGCAAATTACATGAGAAAACATAGATTTTTAGCCCAACATCAACTTGGAATATCTATGAAGCTCCATATCTGTCTAGATATTTGTTTGCTTCATTGGGTTGCATCCTGTTTTTATTGTAATCTACATGTTGTTTTAGATCTTAGTATTTAAGTTAATTCCCATCGGTCTCTTTGGCGACATCCAATAAAATTGAAACGATAGAGAAGATTAGCATACTCCTACATAACACGCACAAATCAAGAATCAGAGAATGGCTAGTTGGCGTGTTTTGACCAAACATGACTCAATCTTATATATGGAAAAGTGACTCAAGTTTCAAATCTTTACTATAAGTGATTCTTTTGAGATTAGCGCTAATTGTCACGTCTTTAGTCTTTAACTAGGCGCACGTACGACACTTGACAACTTGCTTACTATTTTGCACAACTTGCTCACGTTCTTGCTATGCCAAGTCAGCCTTACTACACTAAAGATTGCTAAGGGAATGTTAGAACACATGAGAATTGATAAAGGAAGCTTTTGTATTAGAGAGAACTTGATTGTTTTGCTTGGTGAATTACAAATGAATGACCCCCTTTATATACTAGTCTCCTAGGGGCTAGTATGTAAATATTAATTGTTACACAAGTCCTTAATATTTACAAGATAAGGTCTTTCTCTAGAACTCTCTACAAACCTAGAAGATTCCAAGGACTTTCCTAGCAAATCCATAGGTATCTAGAGTCTTCCTAAGAAAATGTCCATACTTTTCTAGAATCTTCTCATAAATGCTAGCATTCCTCCTATGTAAGCTTCCACATGGTATTAATATATTCCAAATAAAACTTACGTGGAATGATGATGTGGCGGGTCATTACTCTCCCCCACCTAATTTTGTGCCGCCTCGGCACAAAGCATCGACACGTACGCGCGCACCTCGCCTTGGTGTCGTTGGAGATCTTTGTCCATTAGCCATGATTCTCTATGGAGCAGTTCGCCTTCCCATGTCACAAGGTACTGGTCACCTTTCTTCTTGCCCCGTTTGTACTTTGGACGGCTAGCAATGATGACCTCGATCTTCCGCCCATCAAGTGCCTCTCCTTCCTCTTGGCCTTAATCTCCCCATGACTCAACCAAGTCTAGCAGCTTCTGAAGCATCGGGTCCATGCTTCTACTCCCTATTTGGCTGCCCTCCGTGGTCACAACCTTCCTAGAAAACTTGACCCCTCTTCTTGGTGCATCGTCCAAGTCTGATAGCATGCCATCACTTTGTAACTCGCCATCCTCTTCAACTATGTCCGCCCAACTTTTCTTGCTGCCGCCATGCTCCATTTGCATGGTACCAAGATAGGCTTTGGAGGCCCCTACTTTCGGCTTAGATTCCAAGCGCATCCCCCCAATACAGGCAGTCCCTCTTATGTCACCCTTGTGTGCTTGAGCAAAGTTCCCGATTCATTGCTGCAAGCCTCCCCAAATCTGGGCATTCACTTGCCCGATGTGATCATTTAAAGAAGTAGCACCCTCCCTTAGGCATGTACTCGCTACCATTTTCTGTCCCCTTGCTATTTTGCTTGGACCGCAGCCCGTTATGGGATGGCCCCTTGCCATTGCCCTTGTATACCTTGGCTATGCCTTTCCAGTTATCCTTGTCATGATCTCCCCCACCCCTCTTGGCGTTGCCTTCATTGAACTTGGTAGGCTCCATCTTGAAGTAAATGAGCGACTCGGCTACCGCTATGGCCTCATCCATGTTGGCTACTTGATGTCTTCTTAACTCCTGCTTTGCCCAATTTTTCAACCCATCCATGAAGTAGAAGAGGGAATCTTCCCCAGATAACGATGGGATATGCAACATTAGGGTGGTGAACTCGCGCACATACTCCCGAATTGTGGCCATCTGTCGGTGCTCCCTTAGCTTCCGCCTAGCCTCATACACCATATTCACCGGGTAGAATTGCTTCTTTAACACCTTCTTAAACGGCTCCCACGTCTCAATCTTGCATAGCCCCTTCTCCATGTCAACACACTTTCGATGCCACCACAACGTGGCGATCTCTTAGACACATCAGTGTTGATCTTGGCCTCGTCGTCTTTCACTTTGCCATGGCTGAAGTAGTTCTCCAAATGCCAAAGGAAATTCTCCACTTCTTGTGCATCACGAACACCTTTGAACATCGGTGGCTTGGGAGCCTCGATCTTGGCCTCCCTCATCACAATAACATTACTGTATGCCTCGGTCACGCCAGCATTGACATGTTCCTCGAGTAATTCTATCTTTGCTTTTACAGCATCGATAGTACTCAAGGCCTCCATGAGTTTGCATTCCAAGGCAGAGATGGTTTGCCTTAGCTCCATCTCAGTCTGTATACGTCCCTCCAAGTCATTTCGGATACTCTGAATCTCCTCAAGAGCGTGTCCCTCAAGAACTCTAAGGGTGCCTTCCACCTTCCCCAACCGTTGGCCAAAGATCTTGACAGCGTCCATCCCCGCATTTACCTTCATCACCCACTCTTTACCGAGCGAGACGTCCTTCGGCAGGATCTCCACTTCATCCTCGCTCACCTTAGTGGTAGATGGTTCTTGGAATGTAAGCCCCTCGTTTGGCACAATCTCGGGCGGCACCTCCTGGCTCTTATTGGTGACATTTCTCTTTTTGTTATAGCTCTTCTTGCTAGTAATATCCTGGATGACGTTGGCTTGAGTGTTGGCAGCGTTAATTTCTCCGTCGTTCACCATTCCCTTAGTTTCAACCTTTGCTCTGATACCACGTTGTCACGTCCTTAGTCTTCAATTAAGCACACGTGCGGCACTTGACAACTTGCTCACTATTTTGCACAACTTGCTCACGTTACTAAAGATCGCTAAGGGAATGTTAGAACACATGAGAATTGCTAAAGAAAGCTTTTGTATTTGAGAGAACTTGATTGTTTTGCTTGGTGAATTACAAATGAATGACCCCCTTTATATACTAGTCTCCTAGGGGCTAGTATGTAAATATTAATTGCTACACAAGTCATTAATATTTACAAGATAAGGGCTTTCTCTAGAACTCTCTATAAACCTAGAAGATTCCAAGGACTTTTCTAGTAAATCCATATGGATCTAGAGTCTTCCTAAGGAAATGTCCATACTTCTCTAGAATCTTCTCATAAATAATAGCATTCCTCCTATGTAAGCTTCCACATAGTATTAATATATGTCAAATGACACCTACGTGGCATGATGATACGGCGGGTCATGACATAATGATAAATATTTTAAAAGTCTCCCCACTCCCCCGAACTCCCCCCTCCCCAAAAGAGGTTATGCCCAAATGTTCTCTAGCTAGTTTGTTATTTTTGAAATCTTCAAAATTCAAGATGCAAAGGAGGGGTCCTCATTTCTTTTGAGTAGATTAGTAATCACTAACTTGATAGTTAGCATCTTTTTGAACAAGGATGAACTCTTTCATTTAATTCAACAAGTGGACAAAAATTCACCTCTATGCAGAGGCAAATTCAAGATTTAAACTTTATGAGTTTAATCTTTAAGGTTCTTAATGTTGAACCTATTAAAATTTTAAAATTACAGGTTTATATCTTCTATTTGTTGCAATTTTAGTGAATTTTTATACACAAATTTATGCTATATGTCGAAAGTATTAGATTCGGATGAATCCGTAACCGTACTCTACGTCCGCCACCTCCATGTAGTCACATCTGCTATGATATATACAGGTTTGTGGAAAGAAAATATATATATATATATATAGTCACGGATAATGTATGGACAAAATTTTAGCCGTGCAAAAAAAAAAAAAAAACTTAGCGAAGACAGACACCCAACACTTTATTTGGATGCAATAAGTAATAACATGTCTTTCGACAAAACAAAAATACTTGAAACAAAGTAAATACAACCATATATAACAGAATAGGAAACATGCAAACAGTTTTACAACTGAGGAAGAAAACACCCCTACATGATCGGATTACTGGAAATGCTACAGAACCCAATTAGAAGGGTACTGTTCCAAGCCGATAGTGGAACACATTTATTTAACATCTCCAAAACCACACACAGACTAATTTTAAAGTTCAGAATGCTTGAATAAATAAAAGACAAACTTGTTTTCTTAATTTATTGAACAACCTCATCAGATGACTGGACTGCAGAAAAACATGAAGTGCACACCATATCAAATACTCCATTACCCCAAGCTCCCAGCTCCTGCAGAGAAGAGGAAAATTAGTGGACTAGGTGATCATACAGATACATTCTACCAAATGAAACACACATATCATATAGATGCAGATACTATCCTTTTCTAATCTCCAAGGATAACGGTTACCCTACATGATAAACATGAATGTATAGACACACTTGGTGAAAAACATAATGAAGATTTAAAATCATATCAAAATAAAATGAATTTGACTGACTGACCCTTTTCAACTTCACTCTGTGGCAATGCAATCAGCTGTTTCAGGGGGGAATATAGTGAGCTTGAATTTGAAACTCGGAGCTTGACTATCTGTTCCAGATTTTCTTTCTGCAACTTTTCGCATCAGTTCCTGCATCTGTGTCTTCCTGTCTTCTATAGCTTTTGCAGATTTATTGGCCTTCTTTGTGTTCTCCAGCGTCATCTCATGAAGGCTACTCACACCGGCAAACTCAAATGGCACAGCCTCAAGCTTATCACAAGATATAAGAACAAGGTACTTAAGTCTTTGGAATGAACGGTTTGAAGCTTTCCAAGTTTCGAAATCTACTCTTTCAATCCACAATACCTTGAGTTGGCTAAAACCATCTGAATCCCAGGCCGTCCCACTAAATGCATTTTCTTTCAGCTTTAGGACCTGAAGGCATTCCAACCGCCCTAGTGTATTCGCATCACTCCAAACAAACTTTGTATTTGACAAAGTTAATTTCTTCAGTTAGCGTAGGAACTCGACAAATGCTGGAGGAAGTTGAAGAATTTTGCTCATGGAGCTGCCAACATCATTCAACAGCTTCAATTGTTCCAGGCACTTTAGTTTTCGAAAGTTGTTGAACCCACCCTTGTTAATTTCAAGAAAATCAGCCATTTCCCCTTGAATACTCACTTTTCTGAGATTACAAGCCCTTGCAAGCACATCTTCTCTGCAGCTTCCTGGTGCAACTTTAGACAGAGTTTGTAGGCATGAAGATTCATCTGTTGTTTGGGTAGCAGGGGGCAATTTCGCAGGGACATTGGTGTGCAGATGCCTCAACCGTAGCATGTTCCATATGTCTGCTTTTATTTCAATGGTGGACGCTTTTGTATTAAGAATAAGAGTTTGTAAATTCCAAAACTTACCAAAGAACGCCGGAAGAGCATTGTAGTCACCTGAGATAGCTATGTACCTCAAATGAAATCGCTCTTGAAAATCCTTTGAGAAAGTAAATTTGAGGGATTCAACATCCAAGACCCTAACTAGTGGAAATGCTTTGTGGAGGAGTCGGATATTGCCCAGTTGCTCACTTTCTTTTTGTTTTGTGGAAAAACATAAGAAAGACGTAACATGTTCAGCAGATGGTCCTTTGGATATAAAAGCTCTCAAAAGAGAGAGTTGAATACACAAACGACGAGAAGTATCTAGATCTGGTATAATAAGAGTACCAGGCTGATCAGTCTTTTCACATACTTCTTTGAAAAGACCTCCATTTTCCATCTTGCAGAACTGGTGCAACATGTCATGAAGACGACATGTTTTTACTTGACCATCTACCCTTTTCTGCATTACAATCACTAAATTCCTGTTGACAAGTTCGTTCAAGTAAATCTCTTCTATATCCTCGGGTCTTCCATCTAAGTTGGAGTTTATAAGTCCCTCGGAAATCCACAAGCGTATCAACTTCCAAGCAGGAATTTCAAAGCCTTGTGGAAAGGCGCCACAATACAGGAAGCACGCCTTCATATCTTCGGGCAGATGACCATAACTCATTTCAACATATTTCAAGCAGCTTTGTGGGTCATCCTTATTTATAAGGTGTTTTCCTACATTGTCCTTAACCATTTGCCACACTCTTTCGCTTGTACGTCCTTTTAGAGCTCCTGCAATTACCACTACAGCAAGTGGCAATCCACTACATTGGTTAGCAATACTTTCTCCATGTGCTATTAAATCTTCAGGGCACTTTCTAATATTACTGCCAAAAACTCTTTTTTCCAACAGTTGGAAACTTTCCTTGTCCGTCAGAAATTTCAATGAGTGAGGATCAGGATTGGCATATCTACCAATACGCAAGTCACGAGTGGTGAACATGATTCGATGGCCATTGCTGATTTCCGGGAAAACTTTCATCACAGAATCCACAACGTCTGTCGCCCACACATCGTCCAACACAATGAGACATTTACCTCCTTTTAAAATGAATTCACGTATTATGTTTGTCAAGTCACTGNTGAGGTTCAGAATTGGCATATCTACCAATACGCAGGTCACGAGTGGTTAACATGATACGATGGCCTTTGCTGTTTTCCGGGAAAACTTTCATCACAGAATCCACAACGTCTGTCGCCCACACATCGTCCAACACAATGAGACATTTACCTCCTTTTAAAATGAATTCACGTATTATGTTTGTCAAGTCACTGACAGCCATATTTTGATATTCTGTCGTGCGTTTCGTGAACTCTTCCAGTATACTAAGAAAGACCTCCTTTGGTTTGTAATGTTGTGGTCCTACTTAAACCCAAATGGTCTTGAAAAATTCATAGGAAATCTTAGGATCATTATAGATTTTTATTGCCAGTGTGGTTTTGCCAAGTCCAGCCAAACCCACCACAGGGATAACATCTAAATCATCGATTCCTTTAGCAAGTCGTTCGATCACTATTTTCGCTTCCTCGTCAAAGCCCACAACTTCATTTTCTTCTAACAAAGTATCCTGTTAAAGATGATCGAAATGGTTTGGATTTTAAAAAATAAAACAGATACTATTAGAATTTTCTTCTTAATTTCTTTTTAAAGAAAAAAAAAGACCTCTTAATTTCGTGTAATACTTACTACCGTGAGATGTCTCTATATAAAAATGTAGCGAGTAATAACAAATAGAGCGATTTAATTTTTTTTTCTTTGTAAAATTTACAAACTAAATACTATATCCGTTCAGTGAACCTATTTTCTTTTTGGTCCGTTTCAAAAAGAATGTCCCCTTTCTAAATTTGAAAATAATTTTGCTTAAACTTACAATTCTACCCTTAATGAGAAACTTTTATAACCACACAAATACTCTGGCCCCTTTTTGAATTGTTTAGGACCACAAATTTTAAAAATTTTTATTTTTTTTTAAACTCCGTGCCCAGTTAAACAGGTTCACGTAAATTGGAACGGAGGGAGTACTGTATAACAAACAGTGAGCAAATATACTCACGGTTTCTTTAGATCAATAGGTTGAGCTTTGTAGTGAATTCTGTTGGATGGGACTTCTCTGTAATAACTTGGATGGGACTCATTCTAAATGCTGTTATTTTGATTTTAAAATAATTCATTTAGTTTGCAGTTGACTTCTGTGGCAAATTGTTTCGTTAAGAACAATCCTTTAATTGCAAAAATGAAAGGGTGAAAATATCATTTTCTGCCTTTAACTTTGCTTTAAAAATCAAATTCTCCCTCTTTTGAACAAAAGTCATTTCCCCCTCCTGTCCTACATAATATCTATTTCGCCCTTGCAATTAATAGTGCCCCTCTTTATGTAGTAATATTTTAATATTATATATTATATATTCTGGATCACCAGCTAAGGCCCCCGCATGATCGCTCAGTGATAAAGGAGGTAGGGGTGCAGAGACAGCCAAGAGGTTTGTTTATCTAGAAGCAGCCACCCTTAAAAGAGTGCGTAATAGCTCACCGATCGAGCAGTCTTACGCCCAAGATAAACGGGGCTAAGCGATCTGCCGAAGCTGTGGGATGTAAAAATACATTGGTAGGGGAGCATTCTGCCTAAGAAAGAAGCCTCCGCGCGAGCGGTGGTGGACGAAGCAGAAGCGAGAATATCGGCTTGAGTAACACAAACATTAGTGAGTATTGATAGTAGGCTATATTTATGCAATTTAGACACTATTTATACTCTAATTTAGCTGCACTTTATTGATATTTGAATGATAAAAGATAACAAAATGCTCTAATTAAAAATTTTATACTTTGCAGGAGCCACTCCGAGCTAGGAGGAAGCGAAAGAGTATTTTGGAGTCAATATGGAGTGTGGAAGGCCAATCGAAGGTTAGCCCGGTCGAAAAGGAACGAGAAAAGCAAGCAGGGAGGTCCCCTCAAGGTGCGCAGCCGCGGAGTTAAACGCGAATTGGACCGCGCACTGGAGGCAGAACACTGGCTGAAATCCGCGGCCGAATCCGTGGTCGAATCCGCGACCGCGGACGGGCAAACGAAGGCCAACAACTCAGGGGCAATTATGTAATTTTAAGGCGACTAACCTAAATCTATATGAAGCCTAATTCGCCCAAAAGATAGGGAGAGCTATTTTTAGGAGATTTTGGAGGCAAGAATAAGAGAGAGAAGACGGAGAATTTCCTAAGAGTTTTCATCTTCTTCTTCTTACTTCCATTGTTGATTATGAACTGTTATAGTGAATTTTTATCCATTAGTATGAGTAGCTAAACCCATCATCTAGGGTTGATGGAACCAATTGTTGGATGAAGTTTTGACTATGTTTAGATATAATTGAGTCGTTCTTATTCTATGATTGTTCAACTATGTGTTGTGTTGTGATTAATTGAAGGGACCTTTGATTAATCGTGTCTGGTATCTTGTGTTGCTTGAGAAAGAACACTTGGTTAGATTGTTGATGAACAATATCACTTTCGGGTAAGTTAAGAGATTAATTACTTAAATTTAAAAGCAGGGTTAGAGATAACGAAACTTTGGTGGGATAATTCTGAGTTGCATAAATTGTTAACTAGAGTAGTTCGAGAGAATGCTTCTAGTAAATTATCGTAATTGATTGAGAGATAATTACGGTAGCCCGGAACTCATAATCCTCATAGAATATTACGGCGAGATTATAGCTAACGTATCAGGAATAAGTCCGGCAATTGAAAAAATTAATAGCCCTAGATCCTTTTACCTTTGAATTCAACCTTATTCTTGATTATTGCTAATTCTGTTGTCATTTTTCATTAGATAAATAAATTTCACTTATGCTCTATTAAAAATCTTGCATCCGCAAATTGTCTGAGTTTATCATTAGCATTGTTAAAAGTTGTAGTAAATAGGTTAGTTCCCTGTGGGATTCGACTCCGGACTTGAACCGGATTATATTTGCAGCGACCGCTTAGTCCTTTTTACAAGGCATAGTTGGGTGTGATCAAGTATATATATGTATACACACTCACCCATATGTGCTTTACCTATGATTCAATTTATGTTATATCTTATTCTAAATTGTAACTAAGTTTATTTAAAGTATAAAGTAATCCCTTTTTGAATTTGTTATAAAATCAAATATCCTTCCGCTTCAATTTATATGACATAGTTTGACTCGACATGAAATTTAAGAAGAAAAAAAAAACTTTTCAAATTTGTTGTTAAAAGTATGCTATAAGTGTTGTGTGTCTATAGAAGCTTCTTACTAACAGTAAATTGAGAAGTTTAAAGTTAATTATTTCTAACTATAGAAATATGTCATTTTATTTGAAACAAACTAGTAAGAAAATTGCATCGCATAAAATCAAATGGCAAAAAGTATTATTTTTTATGATTGCAATTCTAATAGTACGTGCACTAAATAAATATTTAAAGTAGTTAGAAAGAAAATGTAAAATAGGCTAACGATCATACATAACTACCATTGAGATCAACTACGAGTGTAGTCGAGGGTAGAGTGTACGCAGACACAACCATTGAGATCAAAAGTTGGAAATAATTTCATACATACCTGTGGCCCCGGGGCAACGATTTCCGGCTGATCATCAAGCATTGGCTTAGCCTGAAAAGCCTCTGGATTTTCTTCGCGAATCTTCTTCACCTGTTCAAGGGCATCTCTAATCTCTTTTGCAAGATCCCAAACGGTTTTGGCATATTTAGCATCCAAGTTTTGCATAAGTATATTTTTATCTTGGTGTAGCTTCTCCTTAACCAGGAGCTTATCAATAAGACCCTCAGCTTTATATACCATAACCTGGACTTCCTTGATAAAGTATTTCCACTGTTCGCTGTTGCTTTGACGATATTTTGCAGCATCTTGTAAGAAGGCCTTTAAGCGATTAAGTTCTCCTAGTAGATGTGCAGAATCTTCTTTTGCACCACCAATTAGCTTCCAATTTTCAATTATAATAGGCATCAGGGTCTCCACTACAAATTGCAGTGCTACATCTGCCATTTTCTTAATTAAGCAAGAATGTAAATGGAGAGGATATATAGGTACAATGAGTTCTTAACTTTACTAAAGCTGTATGTCTATATAGAATGGAAGACATAAGTGTGGACATACAATATAATTTCTTAACTTGACTTCGTCCAGAATTATTTAAATGGTCTTTTTGTATTCTAATGTAATTTTCAGCGGCCAAGCCTGCAATTTATTTTTTCTTACAAAACATGTAGCACATAAAAATATTAGCAACTAGTGGATGTCATTATCAGTGGTTTCCAATGTCAATATATAATGCTCGACCAATGTGATATATATATATTTATATATATATATATATATATATATATATATATATATATTTTGGTAACTAATGCGACAGATTCTTGAAAGGTGAAAAATAATACTTGTGCTAGGGCAATCCATTAGCTATTTTGCTGGCTTCAATACGTTTGGGTTTCAATTTATGCGATGATACATGTTACAAAAATTAGGTACCATGGGCTTATCATACTCCCTCCGACGCATTTTAAGTGTCGTTTTAGAAAATCAAGATATAGTTATTATTTTTTTCAGTTTTACCCTCGCTTGCTATTAATAAAGAGGTCAAAAGTGATTAATAATACTCACTTCTAATTTAATAGGGATGCATAAAGTGAGAGGAAATAAGTAATAAATAAGGGTAATTTAGTAAACTATACGTTGTACTTAGTATTTTCGTAATGGAAACCTTAGAACCTTAAACGACTCAGTATTATTAGTACAGAGAGAAAGCTAATTGGCATGTGAGCATCCATTCTCATTGGCCTTCCGGTTGCGTTATTGTCATGAATTACAAGGGCTTATCATATAATTTGTACAAAGAGACAGCTAATTGGTAGTTTAGATGCATTCTCATTGGCCTTCAAAGTCAATGGATGCACTATTTAACGTACTGGTCTTATCGTTACAGCTCATGAGTTGTGCTTAGCAATGATTGGTTAATGGATAACGTTTTGTCTATTAATGTTAATTTGTTAAAATATTTAGTTTCGCATGCTTAACCTTTCTGGTTCCAATTCATGTGGAGGTAGTAAAAGAACTTAGATCAGTGATCTAATCTGGTTTACCTTCCAAATATGCTGACTTACCATTTGCTTAAATTTAAAATTTATTGGTTGATGATTGTAGGTGTACTTAGTTTCAACCAGAAAGATACTTTGGTACATCAATTGTTAAAATTTCCAAGTTGTTTTGTCTTGAACAAGCCTGTAAACACATTCGTTTTTCTCAAGCTATTCAACCTTGGTGCATACTGCAACTTATTATGTGCTTATCTATCTATATCTATCTACATGTATATTATTATAAAAGTACGAATAATTTATGTTAAATGTTGAACGATTAAAATATCCCTAAAATATTGATCAACTTTTATGCCCTTAAATATTTGTATAATTTAATGATCTAATGGTAAATTACCTAATGATGGAATTCTTTTTCGATTTAAACTATACATATGCCTGACCCTACAATATTGATCCTACTTGAATTAGAAAAGTACGTCCATAATTTTTTTTCAAATAATTGTCATTCCTAATTACAATTCTTTTATAACAAGAAATATACTAGAAAAAAAAGGCACGTACTAAAAGAAGATTTAGTACTACGTTCTAAACACATAAATAACATTTTAAACAAAGTAGAAAATTCTTACTATCCTTTAAAGTCTTAATTTGCATTTAGTTTATATAAAGCTAAAACTGAGTTAAGTTAGTATCTTTTACCTAAATATTAGGAGTTACTACATATTTCAAATAAATTGAGTTAATTTTTAATATATTAAATAATAAGAAAACAATTAAATAGTATTAATTTTTTAAAATATAAAATCTAGTTTTAAAGGATTAAAAAATAAATGAATATGTTTCTTTTACATGATAATAAAGTGGTTCTAATAATACAGATGAGATTGTGCTCTTTAATTTATTTATTTTTACTTCAGTATGAGTAATTGATTGCTTTACAAATTTCTCAAAGAAAATCGATTGATGTTAGATTAGGTTTCCTAGAATAAGTTCATCAAAGTCTCCTATATATCGAAGTTTAACAAAAAAAATTCTTTTGATTGATTTATTTTCATTAGATGCTCAATTGTCTCCAATTCAAGATTTACATCAATTTATAATCAAATAAAAAGCAAAATCCTTACGTGCAATACATGTACATAGTAACTAGTATTATTATAAAAGCATGAATATAATATCAGTTTATAAAAATAACTTTATAATATTAAGCATAATAACTCATAATAAAAGGACATAACCGTAATTCTAGATATTAGCCTTATAATCCTATTAGTTTTAGGACATAGTACTATAAATTAGGAATCCTACACGATTACCTTTAGGAATCTTATTACTATAATTACTTTTGGACTGTCTAATTCATATAAAATTAAACAAGTAAATATCTTTAGTCATGTAATCCTGTTACTTTTAGGATATACTTCTTAAAAACTCCTATTACTAATTTAATTCGAAAACGTATTATAATATCCTATTACTAATTTAATTTGAGAATGTATTATATTGTCCAAATCCATTTAGAAAAAGGAGAGCCTATATTATTATAAAAGCATAAATACAATATTAATATACCAAAATAGCCTTAAAATATTAAATGGAAGAACTCATAGGGAAAGGACATAACTGCAATAACCTATTTTTTGGACTACAATACGTTCTTTGCTAATTTTTAATATTTAAGATTTTAAAATTAATAAAAAAATTTCTATTAAATTCTTATTAAAAATATTGAGGAAGGTTTAATAAAATCAATTTCATAAGAATCCTCCGTATTGGCAATATATTACAACTCCATAATATCCAATGCAAAAAAAAAAAAGTAATATTAGATGGATTGCATAAAGAGTTGAAATTGAAAAAAAGTACCCCATCGATAATATATTTTTATATTATATTTGAACTATTTTTCTTGAAAAATACCCAATCATTAAACAACAACTAAGAAAATATTTAAGAATATAAATGTGTGAGAAAGAGAAAAAAAAATAGTTGGTAAGAGTCAATATCACTAATAATTTTACAAACATAAAGATCTAAAAGTGAAATGTTATATCAATATTTTATTCTTTGAAAATAAAATTTATAGCGTATACAATTATAATTAAGATTAAATATTCAAAATAAGAGATGAACTAATATTAAGATCTCAATCAACATAGAATAAATTATTTTTATGTTAAAACCAAATAATTAAATCTTGTAATTAATTATTTAGCAAGAGAATCCAACTCAATTATTTTTAAATTCATCATATGAGTAAAAGTTTTTATTCAAGTTAAAAAAAATTGTAGGATACATAAATTTATTCCATAAAAAGAGCGTTAAAACACAAAGTAAAAATGTTAGTTTATTATTAAGAATCAAAATGCTATACAAGTGTGTGAGAAAGCACAATCAAAGCTAAATCCTAATCAAGAATAAGTTTTCAAGACTATATTATAAAGAGTCGACTCTGGTATAACGAGATTATTCTTTGTAGATGCCTCTAGCGGAATCAAAATAATATTTGTATGTCATACATTACTTGCAAATATCATATCAAGAGATATGATGTTGTTAGCAATAATAGCAAGTGGTGTACAAATAACGATTTTACTGTGAGGCCACCCACTTTAGATTTGATATACCTCTTCAAACAACTTAAATAACCATCACAAATATACCAAAGCAGAGCAATTGTGCTAAATTTATAAGGAAAGCAAAATTGATAATATGGGTTGAAGCACTTATGGCAAAGTGTCAAACGATTGAAATAATTGGCAAGAGTTCTTATTAATAAACCGTTTGGTGAAAAAATAATGGTTTGAGAGCTGATTTCTGTCAAATACTACCAGTAATTCCAAAATCGACAAAAGTAAAGACTGTAAAAGCTAGCTTGCCAAAGTTATACTTCTGGCCTCAAATGAAAAAGATTCAACTAACAAGAAATATAAAGTAAGAACAAATCTAGTATCTAGTGTCTTCTTGCTTCGTGTCGGAAACAAATAAGAGCATCCAATAAAAGATGATTTAGTTTTTCCTAAACACTTGGTTTATCAATCACAATGGTAGTAGTGCATTTAATAAGAGAAATATTTATATCATTACATTAAAGTACAATTTGTGTAAATCGCATGATAGAATTAAAAAGATATCTTAGCTAGCAGAAATGAATATGTTGATCAACTAAATAAAAGGTTGATTGTAAAATTTTATAATAAAAATATAATATTTTTAGTTTTTGACTCGGCAGAAAATGATACCAATAATTACTACCAAGAAAAATACTTAAATACTTTAATACCAAATGACCTTCTACCATACATGTTTGTTGTCAAGTTTATTATTTCTTACGTATGTTAGTGTCACCATATATATATGATAGACTAAGTTAAAATTGATCTTCTACTATATATAAGTTAATTTTGAAAAATATTTGTCCGTCGTGCTACTGAAAAACTTAGATATGCCAAATAGCTTATGTAATAGCACACAGATGGTATATAGAAGTTTTGACAATAACGTCATACATGCAAAAATTATGATACTGGTCAATGTGCTTCTAAGTATATTCTTATCCCTGAATTCAACTTTCGTCTTCCAAAACTAAGAAAAATCTTTTTAAATTTGTGTGAAAATAATTTTTAGTATGTTTATGTTTTGCAAATATAACAAATAAAGCAAAAGGACAAATATCCTAAATATTGGACTATATTTACCGCAATATATTTTCTTGCACGAACAACTGTATGTTGTACTTTCAAGAGGTATATCAAGATCGACAACAAGAATTTTGGTTAAGGAAGAGCAACCAAAGCATTAGGAGGAAACATACACAAAAAAATATCGTCCACAAAGAAGTGTTCGTTAAGATACCATTACATTAAATACTTTTAAACTATAATACATAATTATCTAACTAACATGATAAAATTGATCATTTGTGTAAGTTTTGACGATATCCTTTTATTTTTATTTTCATGTATTATGCTAATGTAATAATATTTTTCGGCATTTAGAAGATTGTTGTATTATTAT